CTCTACAATAAATCAAAAAATTAGCTGGGCGTGGTAGCGCGCGCCTGTAATTCTGGCTACTCGAAAGGCTGAGGCGGAAGGATCGCCAGAACCCAGCAGGTCGAGGCGGCGGTGGCCGGGAGCAGCCACTGCACTCCAGTCTGGGCGACAGAGACTCCAACTCAAAAATAAAAAAAAAAGAAAGAAACAGGAACTCACTGTGTCACCCGGGCTGGAGTGTCATGGCATGATCATAGCTCCCTGCAGCATCAAACACTAGGGCTCAAGTGATCCTCCTGCCTCAGTTTCTCTAGTAGATGGGACTAGCATCAGTTTATATCTTAGTAAAGTTGTTAAAAATAAGCCGGGCTCGGTGGCTCAGCCTGTAATCCCGCGCCTTTGGGAGACTGAGGTGAGTGGATTGCCTGAGCCTGTGGGTTCGAGACCCGCCTGGGCAGGCGAGACCTCATCTCTACAATAAATCAAAAAATTAGCTGGGCGTGGTAGCGCGCGCCTGTAATTCTGGCTACTCGAAAGGCTGAGGCGGAAGGATCGCCAGAACCCAGCAGGTCGAGGCTGCAGTGGCCAGGAGCGGCCACTGCACTCCAGTCTGGGCGACAGAGTAAGACTCCAACTCAAAAAAAAAAAAATTACAAAAAACAAGTCAGTAAGAAAAGAAAGTTTGTTGTGTGGTCTGAGGGGGACGTTCACATGACTGGGTGACCAGACCTCAGGTGTACCTCTGCCTGTGCCACCCTTCAGGGTCCCCCACCAGGTAGGGGGCCAGGGATTAGCCACTGCCACAAGTTGTTCTCTTGTCTCCAAGGTCTTCTGGCACAAAGAAGCTACAGCCCCATGAGAGCTCCAGACCCTTGTCCGTTGAGCGCCCTGGGGCTGTGCACCCCTGGGCTGGCACTCAGCTCCGAACCTCCGTGCAGCCCTCCCACCTCTTCATCCAAGACCCCACAATGCCACCTCACCCAGCCCCCAACCCCTTGACCCAGCTGGAAGAGGCCCGCCGACGTCTTGAGGAGGAGGAGAAACGAGCCAGCCGGCTGCCCTCCAGACAGAGGTATGCGTGTGGGGCCCCTCCCACAGGGGCCTTTGGGGAGCAGCCCACTGGGCACCCACCAGTCACCCCAGGCCCTTCCACTGAGTGCCGTGGGGAAGGACGCAGCAGTGGGCCTACTGTGAAGGGGCAGGACGGCAGGTGCCCCCTTGCCCAAGGCCACCACGTGCCCTGTTCTGGGCTAGGGCTGGGGCACTCCCACTCACACCCAGGTCTGCACAAGAGGCTGTGGGTCCCCAATGTGGCAGGAGCAGCCAGTCCCTGGTCAGAAGCCGCTGACAGGTGTCCTGGGGCATCCTGGCTGCCACTCCACAGGCACATCCAGGAGAGCCTTGGACAGTGGGACAACACTCAGGTCCAAGCCTGTACGGGTGTGAAACTCCAGGAGAGACCCCAAGCCCATAGCCTCTCCCTTCGTGCCCTCCTTGGTCTTCTGGACCACAGCAGTCAGATCTGTCTCCGCCATGGTTACAGGGAACCCATTTTCTGTGAGTGGCAGCATGACATCTCCAGGCTGGAATGTGGCTCTCCTATCTGGTCAGCTGGGTCTTGGGGCTAGTGTTCCCAGACATGCTCTCTGAGAGAGCTGGGAGTCTGTATTACCCAGCCCTGGAACCGTGGCTGCCTTCAGGATGACCAGCTCCTCCTGCCCGTCTCAGACCATCTGGGGCCGGGGCCCAGCCCCGCTTCCTGGCCTGTCTGCCCTCATCTGGTGCCCTGTGGGCTGTGGCACCCTGATCTTCTGAAGTGGCATTCCTTCCCAGCCCTCAGCGTAGCTGAGGACTGTGTGTGTCCCGGGTCATGGAATGCTTGTGGGCCAGCACCAGGCTTTCTGAACCTGATGCCAGCTTTGGGGCCAGAGAGGGTAATAGTTTCCTCACACCAAAAGGATGACCACTTTGTTGTAGCCAGATGACCCTCATCCTAAGGCATTGGGTGCCCAGGTCGTTGCCCAGGTCTGAAACCTGTGACCTAGTGGGGCAGATGGGCCCTGGAGGGCAAGTCCCAGGTAGGCCTATGTGGACTCCCCTGCGGGAGCCCCTACCAAAACCTCCTGGACCATCCTCACCAGCCTGAATGGAGCTCTTAGGGGACAGGGTTGCATCTGCTTTTCGCGCCCGCACCTGGCAGACCTCACATGATGGTGGGTGTGGCCATCTCCCTCTGGCCACAGGAACCACTCTGTGCCATGTGTCTTGAGCCCACGTGACCCTGCTGTGATTCTGCTCGTGGCTCCAGTGAGGAAGCCTAGAGCTGGTAGCCTTCTGTGTTCTGGGGATTGGAGAGTTTGTGGGCAGCTGTACTTGGTGCAGAGGTGGCAGGTTATGGGTGCAGGGCCCTCCCCAGCCTCATAGGCCCTGCCTGGCAGGCCAGAGCAGTAATCGTCAGGCTGCCTGTGCCCAGGTGCGGGTGTCCATGTGACAGGAGCTGCCATGCTGCCAGCCAGGCCAGGCTCAGGTGTGGCACTTGGGAGTCCTTGCCCTCCCTGAGGGGCAGATGGAGCCCCCTGGCCCCAAGCCATGTCTGCGTCCAGGGGGAGCTCATGCGAGAAAACTGAGGGGTGGGCCATACCCCAGGGATCAGGCCAAGGACAGTGTCTCTGGGGTTTTCTGCACTGGGGAGCAAATATCCCTCAGGGTGGGAGGTGGCAGGAGTCCACCTCGGATCAAGTTTCACAAAGTGTGTTCCTGGGAGCTTGAAGGATCCGTGGCCAGATCAGGAGCTTGTGGCACTCTGGACCGAGTGCCGCCTGTTTCTTGAGCGTCTGTGGTGGCGTCTCTGGCACCACCAAGGTCTAAAGGGGGCATGATGCCTCATGCCCCCGAGCCTCACTGGGTGGATTCTGCGCCCCTGCACACCCTGCCCCCACCCGCTGTCCCAGCAGCATTGCCTGAGGCCCCTCCCCAGGGCTGGCAGCCACGCGGCCCATTGATGCGGTTGTTCCCTAGGTATGTGCAGGAGGTTATGCAGCGGGGACGCGCCTGCATCAGGCCAGCATGCGCGCCAGTGCTGAGCGTGGTACCAGCCGTGTCGGACATGGAGCTCTCCGAGACAGAGTACGTGTGCCCTGCAGGTCCTCGCGGTCCCGCCCGTCCCGCTCAGGCGCCTGTGGTGACTCTGTTCTCCCAGGACGTGGCCTCAGAGGCCACCATGGCTGGAGAAGGTCCCGCGGCACCAGACTCCACACCTGAGGGTTTCCCTCCTGTCTCCGTCAGAGGAGACGCTGGTATCCAGCGTGGTGACAAATGGCCAAGGGCCTGGGAAGTGACCCGGGCCTGTATCCACACGGGCATCCCGGCTGGGCCTCTGCAGGGCAGACTTGCCTCTCACCCCACTTTCCTTCCTGAGCCTCCTGCTAGGCTGGGGGCTCGCTGGCTCCTGTGCAGCCACTGTGAGCACTGGGTCTGCACTCTGACCTCCAACACAGGCACGGAGGGGCCTGAGCTGTGCTGGGTCGTACATACGTCGCGACAGCTCACATCTCTCGAGCTGTTGCAGCCAGTGAGTTGGGTCTGTTCCCACCCGAAATGTGGACTGCTCGGAGCAAGGAGTGGGAGGCTGCCATGTCCACACTCTGTGGCCCACGTGGGCAGTGTTGACTCAAACCCCAGAGAGGAGCCTTGAGGCAGGGTCTCCAGGCCTCCCTGGGCTTGCCTCACACCAAGGACTGCTGCACCCTCAGAGCTTCTGTTCTAGACAGCTCCTTGGTGACCTGTCCCCGGGGAGGCAGACCCCACAGTCGGTTCTGCTCTGATGGCCCTGGCCCTGTGGGCTGCAGGGACGCAGCACTGGGGAGAAGGTCTGAGAAATCAGGTGTCTGGGGACTGGCTTTCAAAGTCTTGTGTCCGAGGTGGCCATGTGGCCTTCCTGCCATGACACTGGATCTGGGAGCTTCTGGGTGTGCTGGGCTGGCAGGGGCCCAGGACTGGGCCCAAGTGGACCTGGGGCAGCTTCTGGAATGGCTGTGCAGCTCCTGTGGGATGTCGGCCCCCATTGGGCCCAGTCGCACTCCCACTAGGAAGGTCCTGCAGCCTCTGACCCTCTGCCATCACCGTGGGGCAGGTTCATTTCAAGATTCACGTGCAGCTCTGTGTATCCAACTCTTGCCCTTCAGAGGTCTTCCAAGGGTACGACTGGTGCAGCCCACCCTGCCACCAAGGTGGGCCTGTGGCCTGGCCTGGCTGTCTTAGTAGCTGGGCAGAGGATCCACCTGGGCTCCAGGACTGAGAAGCCACTCACCGCCTGGGTGTGGTTGGACAAGGACCCGGGCCTGTTTGGGGGACAGCAGGGAGTCAGGCCCTGGCCAGGCAAGGGTGGGGCCAGCGGAGGAGACCCTTGGGTTCCTAGTAAGCGGCGTCGACGAGGGACTGAATCCCAGATGCAGATGCTGTGTCAGGTGAGGCCTTGGGCTGGCGTGGCCGTTGGTGCACGGCGGGCCAGGTTCAGGCATTTCTGAGTGGGGCACTCTGTGACCCGGGCCTGGGCCCAGCCCTCACCCCATTTCTCTGCCCTCAGGACGAAGTCACAGCGGAAGGCGGGCGGGGGGAGCGCCCAGGTGTGCGACAGCATCGTGGTGGCCTACTACTTCTGTGGGGAGCCCATCCCCTACCGGACCCTGGTGAGGGGCCGCGCAGTCACCCTGGGCCAGTTCAAGGAGCTGCTGACCAAGAAGGGCAGCTACAGGTGAGGTTGGGGCTGGGCCACCCACCCGGGTGGGGCTGTGGGATGGGTCCTGCCACGCTGGTGCTGGCTGGTGCAGAAGGGGATGGCGTCTGCCCTGGCTGTCCCACATCTCCAGCCCTCGGTTGTCGGCCAGATGCCTCGTGCTCTGCAGAACTGAAGGGTCCTCAGGGTAGGAAACAGGCCCAAACACAGTGCTCTGGCAGCCTCATCTTCAGGCTCTTAGCCAGACCCCTTCCCGCCAAGGTCTCCGGCTGCCCAGCCTATAGAGGCAGAGGCCTCCTGAGCAACCAGTGGGGGACACGGGCGGACCTGGCAGAGCCAGCAGCATCTGGCCACAGCGGGCTTTGGTGGGTGGTCTTCTCTGTCCACCAAGCAGCTCTGGAACGCTCCAGGAGTGGGTGGGAGAATGAGGTGCCTCACCACCACAGACACCATGGAGCAGACATCCACTGTTCCCTCCTCCCCTGCAGCTCCCTGGAGACTGGGGTTAAGGTCCCAGGGGCTGTCAAACTTCCTAGCAGGCAGGGCCGCTACACGATCACTGACCTGCTCAGGATCACTCTGAAACCCTGCTGGGCGGTGGGGCCACAGGGACGACTGCAGGTCTTGTCTGCTGGCAGGGCCCGCAAACAGCCCCTCGCTTAGCCCTTCTTGCCTCCCTGCAGATACTACTTCAAGAAGGTCAGCGACGAGTTTGACTGTGGGGTGGTATTTGAGGAGGTCCGGGAAGATGAGGCCGTCCTGCCAGTCTTCGAGGAGAAGATCATCGGCAAGGTGGAGAAGGTGGACTGACCAGCATGGCTGCGGCGCCAGGCCGGGCCCTGGGGATGGCCACACGGAGGACACACGCCGGCAAGGCGCACTGTGTCGGAACCAGGAGCCCCACCCTGTGCTCAGGAGCCCAGCACACAGGGCATCGCTTGCGGACGCGGGTGTGGGCTGGGTCAGTGAGCCCCTACTCCTTCGGCCGTCTGTCTAGGTGGGCGGTCCCTCCGGGCTTGTCCCATCGCTGAGGAGGACCCCTATCCATTCCCCAAAGCAATACTTGACATCTGGCCTGAGCCGGGCAGCCACGTGCTAGGGCCCTGCCTCCCCCAGGACCCGCCGGCATAGTGTTCTGCTGGGCCCAGCCAGGCCCGGGTGTAAATCATACACGTCACCGAGTGCCTTCAACACAGCTTGTCTCGCCTGCCACTGTGTGAATCCGGCGACCGAGCGCCGTGCCCTGTCTCCCGCCGCATCTGTGGCGGGTTCCTCCTTTCCAAGGGCCCATGTAAATATGTACATTTCTCAGGCCAGGGCCAGCAGGGGGCTGCCTGAGCCCGTTTTTCATGCAATGACTTGTACAATTATCTTTTCAAAGGTACTTGGATAATAATGAAATAAAACTGTTTTTGAACCTCCCTGACTGTGGAATATGCCTGTCTGTTACAGCAGCGCCCCAGCCCATGTGGCAGCCTTGTCACCTGGTCCCTGTGGAATGGTCATGTATGTGGCGTGAGGGTGGCAGGGCAGAAACTGCGGTGCCAATACGCCTGGCAGGGCTGGGGCAGGGGACCAGGTCCACCCAAGGTGCAGGCAGCCCCAGGGGCTGATTTGGCCAAAGCTGAGGGTGACGGACAGTTAGGAAGCAGGCTCAGCCCAGACCAGCGCTCTTTATTCACAGCTCAAGGTCCACCAGCACACGAGACATGCTCCAGTCCGTGGGGGTGTCAGGGTGGTAGGGGGTTGCCGGGCCATGTGCGAGTGCCAGGATACTGTGCAGGTGCTGTCAGCAGTGTGGAGTGGCTATAGCTCCTCCTTGGAACCCACAGTGGAGTTGGCCGATGGTTCCTAGAAAGGGTCACAGACCCAGCTCAGGGCTCTGCCCTCGGCCCACCCTGCCCAGCCCCAGAGCCCGGCTGGGCACCTACCGGAAAGGGGGCTACTGGCTCCTCCATGGGCAGCTTGCCCCCATTGTCTAGGAACTTGGACAAGGTCTCCAGGTCCCTGGTGCTTCTGTACTCTATCACCTGAATGGGGACAGGCGGACTGGAGGACACACCCAGGACCAGGCTGTGTCTGAGTGTACCTAGCCGGGAAGACAGGGTCCAGTATCCTCCCGGCCACCATACCTTCCGATCTGGCCCTGCTGGGAAGTACTTGAGGGTGGGGAAGCCCTGCACAGCAAAGCCTTCCAGCTCATTGGCTGTGGCGTCCAGCTCAGCAATGACAATGTCTTCCTGGTCCTTGTACTTCTCAGCCAGCGCCTCCCAGGTCGGGGCCATCTCCTTGCAGTGGGTGCACCACGGGGCGTCTAGGACAGAGGGTGTCAAACGCAGCCAGCCAGGTCCCCTGCCACCCGTGCCCTGCCCGCCACCCTTGGCACTCACAGAACTTGACAAACACATTCTTGGTTTCATCGAAAGCCACCTGCTCGAAATTCTTGCCCACAAGGATCTTGACCAGCTGCTGGTCCCAGTCAGGGGGCACTTCCTGGCTCAGGAAATAGGGCTGCGGGAGACAGGAGCAGTGCCTCACTAGGTGGTCTCAAGGGTGGAGTCCTGAGGACTGCTGCTCCCCCCTGCCATGCCTGTGAATCCGCGCCCCCACCCTGGAGGGCCTGCATGCAACGTACCTTGACCTGTCCACTGAGGACTGCGTGACAGAAGGCGGTGATAGAAGCTGCAGTGATGGGCTCTCCATCAGTGGGCGCATACTTCTTGGTAGTCTCGACATTGACCAGGCGCATGGTGGGGGCCGCCTCGGCCTTGAGGCCAAAGTACTGCAGCACGTGATCAGTGTCCGCAGCCACATCCACCACCACAAACAGCACCTGCAGCAGGGAGGCCACACTGGGCACCCCGTAGCCTGGCTGCCCCTTCCCTCTGCCCCCCCGCCCCCGTACCTGCCCCCGGAATGGAGGAGCCACCTCCCTGAAGCCCGCCAGGAGCTCCCTGTGCGGGGCCAGCGTCTGGTCGATGAATAGCAACAGGTGGTTCAGGATTCTGACGGCGAAGATCTTGGGGGACGTCTGCAGGGGGGACTCATGACGCCCAGGCACCCCCGCCGGGGCACCCCCACGTGTGGGCACTCTCCCGGACACCCACCCTAGGACAGCCCTG